TCTGATCAGCTTGGTGCTTCGTTGAGACGCCACCATTTCAGCGAAGCTCTCTTTGCTGACGCGTTGCCCAGCCATGAGACGAGGATTGATGCCGCCGTGGTTTTCGGAGCTGCTCTGCGAGATGCCATAGACCCGAGCCGCCTGCTTCAGCTCGTGTGCATCGAGATCACCAGAGCCATCCAAGTCGCAGCGGGTCGCCACGAACTGAGGATCTTGCAGCTTTTGTTTCAGCTCGGCGCTCACAGCCAACAGCTCCAAATGCCACTTCGCACCTGCAGAGGCATGGCACGAGACTTCAACATCGTCAACTCTCTCTGCCTTCTGAGCCGTCTCCTGAGCCTTCTCAACGTCTTTCTCTCCTTTGGGGTCTGATGGTTCGCTGTGTTTCGGCACAGCACCCAACAATGTTGGCAGCCCAGGACGGCGCGGCTCCAACGCATCGTTTTTGCTGCAGCTGCAGCCCATCACCGAAATCGAGTTCCGCGCTTATGGCGGTCACTCAAAACTGCTTAGCCCAAAACAACATTTCAACATCTTTCACTCATGGAAGGCTGTTTCCACATGTGGCAAACGGTCAAGTCAAGTTGCAAGGCTTAAATGGTCAAACAGATGAAACAAACTCACAGCAAGCTCACTTCAAGGAAGCGGTTCAATGAAGGACGGTGAATGGAATATTGACATATCGATGCCGCGATGTTTTGTTTAGTCCCAAAAAAATGGGACTTCAAGACGCAGATTTCAACAGAAACTTGGGTCTCTCACTTCTCTGGCAAGGCATCCCCGCCTTGCAGAGAGCTGCATCCACCAGTTTCCACTTCCAACGCCCACCATCCATCAGCCGGGGAAGAGATGCCTTGGAGCTTCGGTTGGGGGGCTGAACTAAGACTGACATGTCACCAAGGAAAGATCGGATCTCAAGGTACAGAGAAGGCATTTGCAACGAACTTGTTGGACAAAACTGAACTGTGCGGAGAAAACAGGAAATCTGGAACGAAACAGTCAGACAACTTACATCTCTTCTGCTGGCTCCACTTCTGCAAAGAGGTCCTGGGGTCCTTGCTGAAAGTTTGACATCGCACTGGGATGCCTCAAGTTGCAAGAGACTGAGTTTTAGTTAGGTTTCACTGGGACTGAAAAATAATCCGTTCACGACCCAGTCATATCTTGACATTCTTCAAGCCCTTGCATATGATGCTCGAATGGGAGACTTGATTGGAAACAATGACGGTAGCACAAACTCACCGTGTCGGTTGCAAACATCATCTGGAAACAGCTCATTCACTGGATTCCACGACTTTAAGCTTGTTTTAAGCAGGATCAATCCAAAATAACGATAAACCATGTCTCTTCTGTTCTTCCAAGGCTGAATTTTTGTGCGTCGCATTGGTTTTAAGAACATATCACACAGTACTGAGCATGTGACCCACACTGTAGGATACTATAGTAAATAGGTCGACCTATAGCCAAAATGCCAATGCAATGTCAGTCAAATATCTTCCAGGTCAAATCTTGCAGAAGCATGTCATGCAATGCTAGTCAAGGCATCAGAAATTGTTACAATCACTGCCTGTCAACTTTTGCGAACCCATGGTTTATCCGCGTAAACTGGTGGATATTGGTGGATCATGGTTCCAACCACATTGTGATTTTGATTGATTTTCTACATCCACCTGTGACATGGCATCTGTTTCCCGTGGCAATCTGAGTTCGAAACAACGTCTTCCAAGGCCGATGTCTACCCAATGCCTGACGCGGTTGGATACCTGGCGCACGGCATTACCCTCTGGTAGTGTCAGGATGTCAATATCTGTTGGAATTCTGTTGGAATTTTGTTGGAATTCTGTTGGTGATTCTCATTGATGCTCCCATTTCCCCAGGGATTTCGATGGATTTCCGAAGATTTCCCGGCGCCCGCCAGAGGCTGGCCATGCTGTCTTTCCGGACGCAAATAAAACAAAGGGCACTGCTCGTTGAATTCAACGGAGACTGTGCGCTTAAAATCATGCGAGTTTACCAATTTATGAGTTGTAACGTGCTTATAAACCCTCTATAACGTCTCTATAACCTGCTTGCGAGTATGTAAAGTTTCATGACTTTTGACAAGTAAGTTATAACTTCAGCTAGCCGGCTACGTGAAGTTGTAAATGTTTAGGTAAAATATAAGTTCTTAATGAACTTATCGGAAGTATCTTATCTATATGTTATCTTTTCATAACTATGCTAACAGACTTAAGATAAGTACTTAAGAAAGGTTATCAAAAGTTATAGAAAGTTATCAAAAAAGTTACTAAAACCACACGGTTGTGACAAAAACTGAATTTGTGCTGTATGTTTAAAGATAGCTGTAGTAATGTTGCTTGGAAAAAGAATTTTGCAAAGATGCTTTCTCGGAAAGGTTGTGGTTTCCAGTAAAGCTGCTGCAAGGGACTCAGTTTTTTTTTCTCAGCTGGTTTCTTTCTTATGACTCAAATTCGAAAAAGCGAGGGTCATGTCAATTCCAAACATAGAGGAAACTATGTTGTTGATATCGTGCATATATGTTAAAGATGTTTTTCCCAATTTTCCTTCTATTATAAATTATAGACAAGATTAGCTCAATGTAGATTGAACGAGCCATAGTTCAGACTAAGCAGCTGTAGTTCAAACTGGCTATAATGGTAATTTTCCCGTTGGTTTGGCACCGCGAAAGGGGTTAAGAAGGGCGACCTTTTTGCGCCCAAAAAGGGTCCCAAAAACAAAGAAAAAAGTCGCCATTAAAAATCCCAAACCAAGAGGACAATTACTAGGCTAGAATTCAGATTGAACTAGCTATAGTTCTAAATGAACTAGCTATAGTTCGGACTGAACTAGCTATAGTTCAGACTGGTTATAGTTTAGATCGAACTAGCAAGAGTTCAAGCTGAACTAGCTATAGTTCAAACTAACGTAGCTATAGTTCAGCCATAGTCCAGCTGTGGACATGGAATCCGGAGGGGAAAGGCGTCTTGCGTGTGCTGCCTCTGTGGATTTGTTTGGGCAGAGTAAAATGAATGTTAGGCAAATTTTTCAGTCACAAAAAACAAATGTGACACGAAAGTTTCTGAAACGGATCAAGTCTGGCAAGGCACATCCTGAAAAGGATCAAACCTGAAAAGACAGTTGCTGAAAAGGATCCAGTCGCTAAAGGCAGTTCCTGAAAGGGATAAAGTCTGAAAATACACTTTTTCATAAAGATATACAAACATGGAGGAACTTGTTTTAATCATTTGTTTTATTATTTAACTTGTTTATATAATGCTAAGGAGTAATTAATTATAAACTAAAAAACATGCTCATTTTTTAAGTATTGTCTTTTTTGCACATTTTTTGCAATATTGTGTCCAAGTCTTGAAATTAAATTAAACATGAATGTCTCAAAATAGAAGTGCCCTAAGCTCACTTTTTTTAGTTGAAAAAGAAGGGCTTGGGGCACTCAGTTATGGCACCCTATTCTGAGACATTCCCATGTGGAATTATGGCTAAACTATGGTTGAATCATGGCAATTTAAAGTTGTATTAAAAATGGAACTATGCCGGACTATGGATGAACTATGGCAATTTAAATTGAGATTTTAAATGGAACTATGGCTGATCTATGGCTGAATTATGGCTGAACTATTGCAATTTAAATGTCGATTAAACATGAAATTATGGCTGAACTATGGCTGAATTAAAGCTGTTTTATTTCAAGGAAAAATGATGGATAAACTATAGCTACGTTAGATTGAACTATAGCTAGTCCTGCTTGAACTATTGCTAGTTCGATCTGAATTATATCCAGTTTGAACTATAGCTAGTTCAGTCTGAACTCCGGTTCTTTCAATCTACACAGAACCATAGCTGGTTTCATTTAAATTATTTGTCTTTTCAAGTATATGTAGAAACTGAATATATATATATATATATAATCACTAAACCACACCAAATTTAGGGTGAAAAAAAACTAAATAGAACAAATCTTACAATTTTGAAAAAGTCAAGCTGTTATAACTTCAATATGATTGAGCTGATATTACTAATATTGTTTAAATATGAATATAGGAAAAAATGAGTGAACGAAAAAACATATCTATATATTCATATATAACGTACATGTACGATATCAACAACTTAGTTTCCTCCCCATGTTTGAGATTGAAATGGTCCTTGCTTTTTCGAAATTAAGTCATTAGAAAGAAATCCAGCCCAGAAAAAAGAAAGTCCCCTGGAAAGGAAAAGAAAATCATATCAAATGCGATTCTTCCTGAAACAGAACAAATCTGAAAAAAAATACATGAAATGCGAAAGTTCCTGAAAAGGACAATTTCTGAACAAGAATCACGTCAAATGTGAAAGTTCCTGAAAAGGAAAATTACTGAAAAGAAATCGCATCAAATATGATGGTTCCTGAAAATGACAAATCTGAAAACATTTCATCACATCAAATGTGAAAGTTCCTGAATTGGAACATTTCTGAAAAGAAATCGCATCATATATGATAGTTCTTGGCAAAGGAAAGAAGTCCTTGAGACATGCCATGTCAATATGTCGATATGTCGATATGTCGATATGTCGATGTGATTCGATGTGGTGACAGCCACTGTTCGGAATCTCAGGCGCCTGGTCCGCATTCTTTTCACCACAATCTTCTCGCCGTTCTGCGACGGATACGGAAAGGAACAGTGCGATTTGAACTCCAGAGTTCATCATAGTTCATCATAGTTCATCAAGAATCCAATAGCTAAGCCCAGACATTCACGTGCCCTGCTATGGTCATATTCATTAAAGTTGGTGAAGATACTGGGAAACTTCGAGAATACTCTGCATGATGCTTTCAACCCTGAAAAACAGGACAGTCATTGGGGATCATCATCCTATTGTACTTGAAAAAACTCATCTGTTTGCAACCACCACCATCATCCCATTAATCTTGGTTTATCTTGGTGATATAGCATTATTGTCATCATTTTAGATGGTTAAATGCCATTAAATCCCAGGTTATGTCAGTCCTTCTTCTGCATCAAGTCGACTCGCCCATGGTTGCGAACTGCTTCCTGGAAGCATGGCCTATTGCAACATCTATGTTTTGGCTTCCCAATCCGAGTTACACTAGTTACACTTCAAACATTAAACAAGACTTCAACAACTAAACTTTCATCAATTTCATGTTTCATCTGGTCACCTCATGGCAACATATGGCAACATTCCAAACCACGACCAGAACCTACCAGGACCGGACCTGCAGGGTTTGCCCCACATACTCGCTGGGGTCCCAGGGCTGTGCCGCGTGGCTTCCTGCGACGACGGCTATGAAAGTAGGACAAACGTGAAAAAAAACACGTGGTAAACAAAGATCTTCCAAGATGTTTCAACTGTCACCAAAAGATGTCTGAATTTCAGGTCATCTTTTTCTGAATTTCAGACGAAGTCTCCTGCACGTCTCTTATGACCTCACCAAGAAATGGAAAAATCCATGGGGAACGAAGATCGATGTCACCGCCGCAGTTCTCTAAGCCAGGCACATGGCTGTGGATCTCCTGGCAGCACCAAATCCCATATTTTGATTCAGAACTGCCAAAACTAGACAACGGATGGCCCGAGAGCGTAGAGGAGCAGGGTCTTCTCTTGTTAGTATGGAGACGCAATTTTACAAACAATAATATGAAAGATGTGTTATAGGCAGTCGAGAAGAGGAGTATCAAGACAAAATAGTGAGAAGCGCAAGACAATAGTTTGCATCGCAAACACTTTTACACACAGAAGCTTTTACACACAGACGCTTTTACACACAAAAGCTTTTACACACGGACACTTTTACACACAGAAGCTTTTACACAGACGCTTTTACACACAGACGCTTTTACACACAGACGCTTTTACACACAGACACGTCCGGCACAAGTAAAGTCGCAATTTTACCTCAGTTCTTGCGCATCGACCCTCATTTCGTGCGAAAGGGTTGCTCCAGGACAAGTAAAATCGCAATATTACCTCAGTTTTTGCCGATCGACCCTCATTTCGTGCGAAAGGGTTGCTCCGGCACAAGTAAAATCGCAATTTTACCTCAGTTTTTGGCGATCGACCTCATTTCGTGCGAAAGAGTTGCGCCGGGACAAGTAAAATCGCACTTTTTCCTCAGTTTTTGGCGATCGACCCTCTTTTCGTGCGAAAGGGTTGCTCGGGCACAAGTAAAATCGCAATGTTACCTCAGTTTTTGCCGATCGACCCTCATTTCGTGCGAAAGGGTTGCTCCAGGACAAGTAAACTTGCAATTTTACATCAGTTTTTGAGCATCGGCCCTCATTTCGTGCGAAAGGGTTGCTCGGGGGCAAATATATAATCGCAATTTTACTTCAGTTTTTGCCGATAGACACTCATTTCGTGCGAAAAGGTTGCTCCGGCACAAGTAAAATCGCAATGTTACCTCAGTTTTTGCCGATCGACCCTCATTTCGTGCGAAAGGGTTGCTCCGGCACAAGTAAAATCGCAATTTTACTTCAGTTTTTGCCGATCGACCCTCATTTCGTGTGAAAGGGTTGACGTTTCGTGACTCACCGCCGGTACCACCCTCGGCCTAAAGAGAGAAAGATAAAGAAGGCGAGAGAGAGAAAAGAAGGCGAGAGAGAGAAAAAGGAGAGAGAAAGGAGCGAAGATGTGAAGGTGAGAAGATGTGAGAGAAGGTGTGAAGATGAGCAGATGTGAAGAGGAGCAGATGTGAAGATGAGCAGATGTGAGAGAAGATGTGAAGATGAGCAGATGTGAAGATGAGCAGATGTGAGAGAAGATGTGAAGATGAGCAAATGTGAAGATGAGCAGATGTGAAGATGAGCAGATGTGAAGATGAGCAGATGTGAGAGAAGATGTGAGAGAAGATATGAAGAAAGATGAGCAGATGAGAGAAGATGTGAGAGAAGATGTGAGAGAAGATATGAAGATGAGCAGATGTGAAGATGAGCAGATGTGAGAGAAGATGTGAAGATGAGCAGATGTGAGAGCAGATGTGAAGATGAGCAGATGTGAAGATGAGCAGATGTGAAGATGAGCAGATGTGAGAGAAGATGTGAAGATGAGCAGATGTGAGAGAAGATGTGAGAGAAGATGTGACGATGAGCAGATGTGAAAATGAGAAGGTGTGAGAGAAGGTGTGAAGATGAGAAGGTGTGAAGATGAGAAGGTGTGAAGATGAGAAGATAAGATACAGACCCCCACTATTGAACCCTGCGCTCAGACGCTCTCGGGAACAATATATTAAGACAAAATAGCAAAGTGCAAGACAATAGTTTGCATCGCAAACACTTTTACACACAGAAGCTTTTACACACAGAAGCTTTTACACACAAAAGCTTTCACACACAGAAGCTTTTACAGACAGACACTTTCACACACAGACCCTTTTACGCACAGACGCTTGTACACACAAAAGCTTTTACACACAGAAGCTTTTGCACAAAGACGCTTTTACACAGACACTTTTACACACAAAGCTTTTACACACACACAGACGCTTTTACAGACAGAAGTTTTTACACACATACGTTTTTACACAGATGCTTTTACACACAGACACTTTTACACACAGACGCTTTTACACACAGACGCACTTTACACACAGACGCTTTTACACACAGACGCTTTTACACACAGACGCTTTTACACACAGACGCTTTTACACACAGATGTTTTTAGACACAGACGCTTTTACACACAGACGCTTTTACACACAAACGCTTTTACACACAGACGCTTTTACACACAGACGCTTTTACACACAGACGCTTTTACACACAGACGCTTTTACACACAGACGCTTTTACACACAGACGCTTTTGCACACAGACGCTTTTGCACACAGTCTTTCACACACAGACGCTTTTACACACAGAAGCTTTTAGACGCAGAAGCTTTTACACACGAACACTTTTACACACAGAGACTCTTATACACAGACGCTTTTACACACAGACAGAAAAATCCGGCACAAGTAAAGTCGCAATTTTACCTCAGTTTTTGCGCAGCGACCCTCATTTCGTGCGAAAGGGTTGCTCCAGGACAAGTAAAATCGCAATATTACCTCAGTTTTTGAGCATCGACCCTCATTTCGTGCGAAAGGGTTGCTCGGGGGCAAATATAATCGCAATTTTACTTCAGTTTTTGCCGATCGACCCTCATTTCGTGCGAAAGGGTTGCTCCAGGACAAGTAAAATCGCAATTTTACCTCAAATTTTGCCGATCGACCATCATTTCGTGCGAAAGGGTTGCTCGGGCACAAGTAAAATCGCAATGTTACCTCAGTTTTTGCCGATCGACCCTCATTTCGTGCGAAAGGGTTGCTCCGGCACAAGTAAAATCGCAATTTTACTTCAGTTTTTGGCGATCGACCCTCATTTCGTGCGAAAGGGTTGCTCCGGGACAAGTAAACTCGCAATTTTACATCAGTTTTTGCCGATCGACCATCATTTCGTGCGAAAGGGTTGCTCCCGGACAAGTAAAATCGCAATTTTACATCAGTTTTTGCCGATCGACCCTCATTTCGTGCGAAAGGGTTGACGTTTCGTGACTCCCCGCCGGCACCACCCTCGATCTAAAGAGAGAAAGATAAAGAAGGCGAGAGAGAGAAAAGGGAGAGAGAAAGGAGAGAGAGAAAGGAGAGAGGAAAGAGGAGAGAGAGTGAGAGAGAGAGAAGATGAGAAGATGTGAGAGAAGGTGTGAAGAGGAGCAGATGTGAAGAGGAGCAGATTTGAAGATAAGCAGATGTGAAGATGAGCAGATGTGAAGATGAGCATATGTGAAGATGAGCAGATGTGAGAGAAGATGTGAAGATGAGCAGATGTGAAGATGAGCAGATGTGAAGATGAGCAGATGTGAAGATGAGCAGATGCGAAGATGAGCAGGTGTGAAGATGAGCAGATGTGAAGATGAGAAGGTGTGAGAGAAGGTGTGAAGATGAGAAGGTATGAGAAGATGAGATACAGACCCCCACTATTGGAAGAACCCTGCGCTCAGACACTCTCGGGAAAAAACGATTGACCCTTTTGGATACCCTTTGGTAAACATGGTCTCGAAAATCCGCCATTTAGTTTGATCTTCCCTTCAAAAACTGTCATTTGCTGGGATGTTCCAGCTCACCTTTGATTTCCTCATTTTTGGAGCCATTTTTTCACACTGAGGCCATCACCGGTCGGTAAGCTTTGGTGAGGCTTTGTGATCCAGGGGCAATCTTCTCAGACTTAGTGGTTTCACGGTTTCACCACAAAACCATCCAAATCAAAGAACCGCCATGAAACATGTGAAACATTCCGAAACAGTTCATAAATCATCAACCATTCAGCTGTCTGGATGGAAACTGGGGATACCTTCATATACCTTCTAAATAGCAATCTATTGGGGGAAAAAATGATAGACCATCAGATTTGGGTTTTTACATGTTTTAACCGTAATTTTCCAGACAATCCAGACAAATTCATGTGGAAAGTGCTGGTTGAAACCTGGTTTGACCACTGAGTTCCAAACAAATCTCGGTGGCCGGGGGCCGGTGCAGTCGTGGCTTTCCCCGTGGTGCCGGTGCTTTTCTTCCCTGGCAGTGGATATCCTGGAGATCGAAATTTCCATCTCTGACATCTGCAAAAGTCAATCCAAATATGTTGATTTCTGTAATTTCTCTCCAGATCTTATCGAAATTTGTCACTGAAACATCGGGATATCATCAATATATCATCAATAAATCATGGATACTCGATGTGGGTAACATCCATGAGATTCACCACCTGATGGGTTTCAGGATGACATGCCATGGGTGGCCTCCGGGAAACATTCCGAGGAATGATGGTAGCTTCGGCTCGGCCTTGGTTTGACAAAGCCATGGCTACCATTGACCCATTGGCCCATTGGGGGCACAAAACGAAGAAAATAGAACATCGAAACTAACATGTTTGACAGATCAACTAAGTCCCAACTGATATTTTGGCCGTTCAAAGAGTCCAAATTTCGATCATTTCTAAGAGCCCAAAGAAATGGTTGCGGTTTTCCATGGATATCACTGCACTTGCAACAAAAAACGAATGGGATGAGCAAACAGCTGAACAAATCTAACAAAACACAATGGGTATGTCCAAAAATGGGGCCCAAAATCCACCGCAATCGATCATCATAATTAAGTCATATTTCCATATATTTCCCCTTCATTTTTCAAAAACGGTATGCCCCATTTTGAGACACGCCCGAGTTGTCTGCACTGAAACTCTGCCAAACTTTTTGCACCACTGAAGGCGCCGGTCTTCATCACCTGGTCGCAATGTGTTCCATGTGTGTCCATGCTACAAAGAAAAGAAATGCATCAATGGCATCAACATGTGCAACGCCATGCAACGCTATGTTGCATTGTTTCCACTCAAAATACTTCCTGAGATCTGTTGAGATTTGCGTTCAGCACTGGATCTTCGTCGTTTGTATTGAAAAACACTGAGTTTCAGTCGGAGCTGTGTAGAGAAAACAAAATCAGGAACGAAACAGTCGGAGCTGTGTAGAGAAGGCATTTGCAAGAACGAAATTGTTGGACAAAACTGAGCTGTGTGGAGAACACAAAATCTGGAACGAAACAGTCAGAAGACTTACATCGCTTCTGCTAGCTCCACTTCTGCAAAGAGGTCCTGCCTTCCTTGCTGAAAAATTGACATTGCACTCTGATGCCTGGGCCGGGCCATGCAGGGGGAACATCATCAAACTTTCTTCCTTAAGTTGCAAGAAACGGAGTTAGAAGTTATGTTTCACTGCGATTAGATCCGTTCAATCCGTGATAAGGAGGTAAAGTGCGCTTACTGACCATCAAAACAAACAATCCACATGAACCGAGCCTCCGAGCTTTCAAAGTGCGCCGCAGCACCTCTGCCTTCCCGCCGGAGGTCTGCCATGCAACGCCAAGCCCTACGATCTGAGGTGGATGGTATGGAAATGTGACGCGCTGTAAAGAGTTGCAGAGGTCCTCCCATCCCAAAATGCTGACCAAAAACCTCTAAATTTGGGGCGGGACAAAAGATTACCATTAGAAGACATCGCAGACGCCGGTTGTTGGAAACATGTTTGGGGAGTGTCGTTTAAGATTTGGAGCCTGCTGAAGAGTGATGACATCTTCAATCAGCTCATGCATCAGTGTGGGCAGGCGTTGGTAGCCTCTGCTTGTCTCGAAGTGATCAGTTGGTGGTGGAATTGTCTCGGTACATCCATCAGTTGTCGAGGTTCCTCTTGTTCCTCCCGCATAGATCCCAAGAGCGTTGCTCACATCCCCAGGTGACCCGATGCCGGTTGACGATCGAAATGTTTCAACTCATGAGTTCATGGGTCAAAGCGGATGTTTCCTCTGAATGTCCATCTCTGGCCATGAGATGTGTGAGTTTGGCATGGTCTCAACCTTGGACTTCCCCTTGAATTTGATGCCTAGAGCCATCAAGTTATAACATCCCAGTATAGTGGAAGGCCGCAAAGTACTGTAATGTCACCAGAAATGAGGGTTCCGACAATCATCCCGAAAGAGTGTGGGGCATACAAGTGGTGGCCGTTAAACTTGATGATTGAAAAGATGCGCTCAAAAATCGATGAAGATAAGCATGGCCAAAACATGTGCAGGTGTTCGGCCCATTTTTGGATCAACAAACCCATGCATCAAACCAACCGCAGCCTATTCCACCTCTGGGCACCTTGCTGTAAGTCACTGGTCTTTTTCCCAGCGAGGCGGAGCTAGCCAAAAACGAATGTGGATTTTGACAAGCAAAGTTCTGCGTCAAGTTCTCGAAATTCTGCTTAATCAGCTGAAATGCTTTGTATCCCGCCTCCCCAGACATCTGAACAAAAATCAGGGATCATTAAAAATATTAAAAATACCAACAGCCAACAACATAAAGATGACACCATACCATGCGCCCAAGTAACGCTCACTGTCTGCGATTGAATGAAGTACCTCGTTTTCAACGGTTCGCGCAGCCTGGGCAAAACAAGGTACAGATTCACCAAAGCGTCCACAAATTGATTCAGTTTGTGAAAGATCTGGAGATCTTTGATCATGAAAAGCTTTTGACCAATGGGACTCTCACTATTCTGCACAAATCAGCACAAACCTGGAATCTGCCTAACAACAAAAACAAACGAACCCATCAGGACTTCCCAACAGCTTCCATCACGCAAGTTTGCAGCACACTCATTGCACAGCATCCTTTTCTCTACGATATGGACAAATTGGATGCCCGCAGCAGCTATCCAAAAAGCCAACGCCGAAACCAATTCTGACCACCGCCATGCTCCCTGAGGAGCCTAGCCACAGCCTCATGACGGTTTGCCCTAGCAACCATCAGTGCTGTCATGCCATTGTTTGTTGCTGCCTTCACATTAGCACCATGCTGTAGCAAAAGCTGGGCCACGGCCACATGGCCACCGTCAGCAGCCCACATCAGTGCTGTGACACCATAGTTGCTTGCTGCCTTCACATCGGCACCGTGCTGTAGCAACATCCGGGCCACGGCCTCATGGCCACCTGCAGCAGCCGCCATCAGTGCTGTGGTGCCATCGTTGCTTGCTGCCGCCACATCGGCACCGTGCTGTAGCAACAGCTGGGCCACGGCGACATGGCCAGCTACAGCAGCCCACATCAATGCTGTGCCACCATAGTTGCTTGCTGCCGCCACATCGGCACCGTGCTGTAGCAACAGCTGGGCCACGGCCTCATGGCCACCTGGAGCAGCCAACATAAGTGCTGTGAAACCATCGTTTCTTGCTGCCGCCACATCGGCACCGTGCTGTAGCAACAGGTGGGCCACGGCCTCATGGCCACCTCGAGCAGCACACATCAATGCTGTGGTGCCATCGTGCCTGGCTGCCGTCGCATCGGCACCGTGCTGTAGCAACAGGTGGGCCACGGCCTCATGGCCACCTCGAGCAGCACACATCAATGCTGTGGTGCCATCGTGCCTGGCTGCCGTCGCATCGGCACCCTTCTCCAAAAGCAGCTTGGCCATGGATGGATTCGATGCCCACACCAGCATGCTGTTCAACCATGCTAATCTCTCAGTTGCTGCAGCAAAACTGCCGCAAATCTCTGTCAGCTGCTCAGAACTAACATCTGCTCCTTGAAGGCAGCACGTGGCCGCAGAAGCAAAGTCGCCCCTAGCCATCAGGACCTTCAGCACCGTAGTGGAGAGTAGAGACTTCATGTAGCGATCAAAGTCGCTGAAGACATCTGCCAACGCATCGGCCCCATGTTGATCTATAACACCATTGAACCAACGTTCGGCACCCACTCCCTTGATGAAACCCCTGAAGGATTCGTCGGCCGTTTCTCCCCAAATCTGATACTTGTCCTTGGCTATTGAGCTTTGAGCATTGGCAGCGGACACGTTCCACAAGGCCTGGCATGTGGTTTCCAGCATCTTGGCGCTCACAGCCTTGTGTCCACCGTTCTCAGGCTGGGACAAGGAACCCTCACTGCAAATCAGTTCAAAGGGCCGGTGCAAGTCCTTCAACCGAGAAGCCTCGAAGAGGCACCACATGCGAGAAAATGGTTTCACTTCTTCATCCAAAACCATCACTGCACCACCAGTGGCTTGCGCCAGTGCTGCGTTGAATGGCCCCTGCTGAGGATTTTCCCCCACCTCCTCCGCCACGTCGTGCTGGTTCAACGCAAAGAGGCATATCCAGTAGACCAAGGCCTCCTTCTCCGAGGTCAGCTTGTCGTAGTTCGAATCTGCCCACAAGTCAAGAGCCGTGACAGTGCTTGTGAAGTTGTGTCCCCAAAAATGGGAGACAAAGCAGTGAACAAACAGGCCGAATGGATTCACCAGTTGTGAAAAGGATGAAATTCCATGTGCTTCGGCAATGGTCTGCTGCTCATCATGTTCACGGGCTCCACACGTGCCTGGCTTCGACATTGGAGTCACCACAAAGGTGTCCAAGGCATAAAGATTGGTATCTTGTCTGAACTTCGTGCCTTTGGCAATGGCATGGGCATTCTCTGCGTTGAAGGATTCACATCGTGCAGAGAGCCATCCAGTTCTGACGAACAATCCTTCAAGATGTTGAAGCTGGCCCAATGCCATTCCACGCAAGGAGTGCGGGACTGTTCCTGGATCAGCGAAGATGTGCTGCCAAGTGTTTGGATTCAGATTGGTTTCAAATTCCGGACTAAATAGTTTGTGCAACGTTCATCGTTCTACAGATTCCGGTGCGTCAACATGTATCAAACGACCTGGGAATGCTTGCAAAGTCATGTCCAAACATCCCGAGCCCCCGTTCATGTCTTCATGCTTTGCGTCGCTGTAATTCATGCTGATTCAGAAATGGACTCTGAAAACAATCGCTGAACAAAATAACAAAAAAATAAATAAGAAGCATTTAACAAATCGCCAATGGAAAGGTTCTGTTGAATCAAAAAATACAATAAATAAATAAAAAAGATTTGGGGTCTATTATGATTATGAAAGTTATGATACTTACCTATGTTGAGGGGTCTGAGATCATCAGGGGGGGTTGGGGTCTAACATGAAAAAATACAATTCTAGACCCCTTTTCCGGAGAGCCCAGGGTATACCATTTCAAACCCTTTAGTAGTTGGGGGTATTAAAAAAGAAGTGTTTGAATCAAAGGCTCTCAGCTTGGTGCTTCGTTGAGAGGCCACCATTTCAGCGAAGCTTTCTTTGCTGACGCGTTGCCCAGCCATGAGACGAGGATTGGTGCCGTCGTGGTTTTCGGAGCTGCCACTCTGCGAGATGCCATAGACCCTAGCCGCCTGCTTCAGCTCGTGTGCATCGAGATCACCAGAGCCATCCAAGTCGCAGCGGGTCGCCACGAACTGAGGATCTTGCAGCTTTTCTTTCAGTTCGGCGCTCACAGCCAGCAGCTCCAAATGCCACTTCGCACCTGCAGAGGCATGGCACGAAACTTCAACAGCCTTCTGAGCCTTCTCCTGAGCCTTCTCAGCATCCTTCTCTCCTTTGGGGTCTGATGCTTCGCTGTGTTTCGGCACAGCACCCAACAATGTTGGCAGCGGACGGCGCGGCTCCAACGCATCGTTTTTGCTGCAGCTGCAGCCCATCACCAAAATGGAGTTCCGCGCTTATGGCGGTCACGAAAAACTGCTCAGCCCAAAACAACGTTTCAACATATTTCACTCATGGAAGGGTGTTTTCACACAAGATCAAGTCAAGTTGCAAGGTTTAGACGGTCAAACAGATGAAACAAACGCACATCAAGCTCACTTCAAGGAAGCTGTTCAATAAAGGACGGTGAATGGAATATTGACACATCGGTGTCGCGATGTTTTGATTAGTCCCAAAAAAGGGGACTTCAAGACACAGATTTCAACAGAAACTTGGGTCTCTCACTTCTCTGGCAAGGCACCCCCCGCCTTGCAGCGAGCTGCAGCAGTTTCCACTTCCAACGCCCACAATCCATCCGCCGGGGAAGAGATGCCTTGGAGCTTCGGTTCGGGGCTGAACTAAGACTGACATGTCAAGGAAAAAACGGATCTCAAGTTCTCAAGGTACAGAGAAGGGATTTGCAAGAACGAAATTGTTGGGCAAAACTGAGCTGTGTAGAGAACACGAAATCTGGAACGAAACAATCAGAAGACTTACATCGCTTCTGGTGGCTTCACTTCGGCAAAGAGGTCCTGGGGTCCTTGCTGAAAGTTTGCCATCGCACTGGGATGCCTCAAGTTGCAAGAGACTGAGTTCTACTGATGTTTCACTGGGACTAAAAAATAATCCGTTCACGACCCAGTCATATCTTGACATTCTTCAACCCCTTTCAAAATATGAGGCTCGAATGGGAGACTTGATTGGAAACAATGACGGCAGCACAAACTCACCATGTCAGTTGCAAACATCATCTGGAAACAACTCATTCACTGGATTCCACGGCAGCTTGTTTTAAGCAGGATCAATCCATAACGATAAACCATGTCTCTTCTGTTCTTCCAAGGCTGAATTTTTGTGAGTCGCATTGGTTTTAAGAGCATTTCACACACAGTACTGAGCATGTGAACCACACTATAGGATAGAATAGTAATATATAGGTCGACCTGCACCTATAGCCAAAATGAGAATGCAATGTCAAGAGGAATATCTTCCAGGTCAAATCTTGCATCATGTCATGCAATCAATGCTGGTTTCTACCGGTGCTATGTCAAAGTCAAGGCATCAACAATTGTTACAATCGCTGCCTGACAATTTTTGTTAATCCATGTTTTATTCTAACAAACTGCTGGGTCGTGGTTCCAACCACATAACATTGTGATTTTGATTGATTTTCTACATCCACCTGTCACATGGCATCTGTTTCCTGTGGGAATCTGAGTTCAGCACCCCGTCTTCACTGTGGCGCGATGAGCTTCAAGGACCTTGTGATGCAAGGGATCCGGACACCCATAGCATAAGATGTGCAAAGTACTTGTGAAGATTTGTGAAGTATGTAAACATAGAATACATTGATTGCACTGGGCAGGGCCATGCAGAAGGAACAGAGTCAAATGGCTTTCTTCCTGAAGTTGCAAGAAACGGAGTTGGAAGTCATGTTTCACTGGGATTAGATCCGTTCAATCCCTGCACGACCCGATGATAAGAAGGTAAAATCTGCTTACTAACCGTTACTAACCATCAAAACAAACAATCCACATCAACCGAGCCTCCGAACTTTCAAAGTGTGCCGCGGCACCAATGCCTTCCCGCCGGAGGTCTGCCCGAATGCTCAACGCCAAGCTCTTCGATCTCAAGTGGATGGTATGGCAATGTGACATACCGGAGAGAGTTGCATAGGTCCTCCCATCCCAAAATGCCGACGAAAAACCTCTAAGCTTGGCACTGGACCAAAGATCACCGTTACATCGCAGACCACTTCGACAAGTGACATCTTTTGACATGTTTTGACATACGCGCGTTTCTCAAATCAATACAAAATCCCAAGTCATTAGATGGTTTAGTACCAAGGATGCTAAGTGTCCGGTACCCCGAACTGGATCAATTCTTCCTACTGGTACTCACATCGCTCTAACCTTGGCCACTCCTCAAGGCTCCAGTTCAGCCTCGCAATGCTGAATGTTGACATATCGGTGCCGCGATGTTTTGTTTAGTCCCAAAAATCTGGGACTTCAAGACGCAGATGTCAAAAGAAACTTGGGTCTCTCACTTCTCTGGCAAGGCACCCCCAGCCTTGCAGAGAGCTGCATCCACCAGTTTCCACTTCCAACGCCCACCATCCATCAGCCGGGGAAGAGATGCCTTGGAGCTTCGGTTCGGGGCTGAACTAAGACTGACATGTCAAGGAAAAAACGGATCTCAAGGTCCAGAGAAGGGATTTGCAACGAACTTATTGGACAAAACTGAGCTGTGTAGAGAAAACAAAGAGGTCCTGGGGTCCTTGCTGAAAGTTTCACATCGCACTCTGATGCCTGAAGTTGCAAGAGACTGAGTTTGAGTTAGGTTTCACTGGGATTAATTCCGTTCACGATACAGTCATATCTTGACATTCTTCAACCTCTTGCAAAATGATGAGGCTCGAATGGGAGACTTGACTGGAAACAATGATGGTAGCACAAACTCAAAAAAGCCGGTTGCAAACATCATCTGGACACAGCTCATTCACTGGATTCCACGGCAGCTTGTTTTAAGCAGGACCAGGATCAATCTATAACGATAAACCATGTTTCTTCCGTTCTTCCAAGGCTGAATTTTTGTGCGTCGCATGTGACCCACTCTATAGGATACGATAGTAATATATAGGTCGACCTATAGATCCTATAGCCAACTAAAATGCCAATGCAATGTCAAGAGGGATATCTTCCAGGTCAAATCGTGCAGAAACATGTCATGCAATCAATGCTCGTTTCTACCGATGCTATGTCAAAGCCAAGGCATTAACAACTTTTACAATCACTGCCTGTCAACTTTTGTCAATCCATGGTTTATTCTAACAAACTGCTGGGTCGTGGTTCCCTTTGATGGCTTTGCAACCACAAAACATTGCGATTTTCTACATCCGCCTGTCACATGGCATCTGTTTCCCGTGGCAATCCGAGTTCAACACAGCGTCTTCACTGCGGCGCAATGAGCTTCAAGGACCTCATGATGCAAGGGATCCGAGACACCCATAGCACAGGTATGTGCAAAGTACTTGACGTTTGTAGACTGACATAGAATACAATGATTGCACTGGGCCACTGGGCCACTGGGTCATGCAGGAGGAACATCATCAAACTTTCTTCCTGAAGTTGCAAGAAACGGAGTTAGAAGTTATGTTTTGCTGGACTGAAATCCGTTCAATCCGTTCATGACCCAGCGATAAGGAGGTAAAATCGGTTTACTAACCGTTACTGACTATAAGCTGCAGTCAATCCACATCAACCGAGCCTCTGAGCTTGCAAAGTGCGCAGCACCAATGCCTTCCCGCCGGAGGTCTTCCATGTAACGCCAAGCTCTACGATCTCAAGTGTGTGGTATGGCAATGCGACGTGCTGTAAAGAGATGCACAGGTCCTTCCATCCCAAAATGCTAACGAAAAACCATGAAACACCTCTAAGTTTGGTGCTGGACCACTTCGACAAGTTACATCTTTTGACATGTTTGGACATGTTTTGACACACGAGTGTTTCTTGAGTCAATGCAAAAACCCCAGGTCATCGGATGTTCTAGTACCAGAGAGGATGACTATCCGGTACTCCGAACTGAATCCATTTTCAAACTCCCATCACATATCAATCTCCTTCTCACATCGCTCCGACCTTGGCCAATCCTCAAGGCTCCAGTTCAGCCTCGCAACGCCGGTTGTTGGAAACATTTTTTGGGGAGTGTCGTTTAAGATTTTGAGCCTGGTGAACAGTGATGACGTCTTGAATCAGCTCATGCATCAGTGTGACTAAGTGTAGCCTTCGCTTGTCTCCGAGTGATCTGTTGGTTGGTGGAACTGTCTCGGTACATCCTGCAGTTGTCGATGTTCCTCTTGTTCCTCCCGCAAAGATCCCAAGAACGTTGCTCACATCCCCAGGTGACCCGATGCCGGTTGGATTGATGATCGGCATGTTTCAACTCATGAGTTCATGGGTCAAAGCTGATGGTTCCTCTGAATGTCCATCTCTGGCCATGAGATGTGTGATTTTGGCATGGTCTCAACCTTGGACTCCCCTTGAGATTTGATGATTGAACCCAGAGCCATCAAGTTGTAACATCCCAACATAGCGGAAGGCCGCAAAGTACTGTAATGTCACCAGAAATGAGGGTTCTGACAATCATCCGAAAGAGTTTGGGGCATATCACAAGTGCTGGCTGTTAAACTTGAGGAGCTAGCCAAAAAGGAACTTGGATTTTGACAAGCGAAGTTCTGAGTCAAGTTCTCGAAATTCTGCTCAATCATCTGAAATGCTTTGTATCCCGCCTCCCCAGAAATAACCTGAACAAAAATCAGGGATCATTAAAAATAACAACAGCCAAAAACATCAAGATGACACCATACCATGCACCCAAGCAACGCTCACTGTCTGCGATTGCATGAAGCACCTCGTTTTCCACGGCTCGTGCAGCCTGGGCAAAACAAGGTACAGATTCACCAAAGCGTCCACAAATTGATTCAGTTTGTGAAAGATCTGGAGGTCTTTGATCATGCAAAGCTTTTGAGCAATGGGACTCTCACTGCACAAATCATAACAAACCTCGATTCTGCCTAAAAACAAAAACAACGAACTCATCAGGACTTCCCAACTTCCATCATGCAAGTTGGCAGCACACTCGTTGCACAGCATCCTTTTCTCTACGGTATGGATAAATTGGATGCCCGCAGCGGCTATCCAAAAAGCCAACGCCGAAACCAATTCTGACCACCGCCATGCTCCCTGAGGAGCCTAGCCACAGCCTCATGACTGTTTGCCCTAGCAAACATCACTGCTGTGGCGCCATTGTTTGCTGCTGCCTTCACATCGGCACCATGCTGTAGCAGCATCTTGGCCACTTCCTCCTGGCCACCTAGAGCAGCCAACATCAGTGCTGTGACACCATCGTTCCTTGCTGCCGCCACATCGGCACCGTGCTGTAGCAACAGCTGGGCCACGGCCTCATGACCGGAGTGCTGTCCAGCCATCGTTGCTTGCTGCCGCCACATCGGCACCGTGCTGTAGCAACAGCCGAGCCACGGCCTCATGACCACCTACAGCAGCACACATCAGTGCTGTGAAACCATTGTTGCTGGCTGCCGCCACATCGGCACCGTGCTGTAGCAACAGCTGAGCCACGGCCTCATGACCACCTACAGCAGCGCACATCAGTGCTGTGAAACCATTGTTGCTGGCTGCCGCCACATCGGCACCGTGCTGTAGCAACAGCTGGGCCACGGCCAAATGGCCTCCTTTAGCAGCAAACATCAATGCGGTCCAGCCATCGTTCCTTGCTGCCGCCACATCGGCACCGTGCTGTAGCAACAGCTGGGCCACGGCCTCATGGCCACCTAGAGCAGCAATCATCAGGTCTGTGACACCATCGTTGCTTGCTGCCGCCACATCGGCACCGTGCTGTAGCAACAGCTGGGCCACGGCCACATGGCCTCCTTTAGCAGCACACATCAATGCTGTCCAGCCATCGTTGCTTGCTGCCGCCACATCGGCACCGTGCTGTAGCAACAGCTGGGCCACGGCCTCATGACCACCTACAGCAGCACACATCAGTGCTGTGAAAGCATCGTTTCTTGCTGCCGCCACATCAGCACTGTGCTGTAGCAACAGCTGGGCCACGGCCTCATGGCCATTCTCAGCAGCCCACATCAATGCTGTGTCGCCATCGTCCTGTGCTGCCGCCACATCGGCACCGTGCTGTAGCAACAGCTGGGCCACGGCCACATGGCCTCCTTTAGCAGCAAACATCAATGCTGTCCAGCCATCGTTGCTTGCTGCCGCCACATCGGCACCGTGCTGTAGCAACAGCTGGGCCACGGCCTCATGGCCACCTTGAGCAGCCAACATCAGTGCTGTAAAACCATTGTTGCTCGCTGCTGCCACATCGGCACCGTGCTGTAGCAACAGCTGGGCCACGGCCTCATGGCCACCTAGAGCAGCGTACATCAGTGCTGTGGCACCATCGTTTCTTGCTGCCGCCACATCAGCACTGTGCTGTAGCAACAGCTGGGCCACGGCCTCATGGCCACCTTGAGCAGCCAACATCAGCGCTGTGACGCCATCGGTCTGCGCAGCCTCTACATCGGCACCCTTCTCCAAAAGCAGCTTGGCCGTGGATAGATTCGATGCTTGCAGCAGCATGCTGTTCAACCAGGCTCTTCTCTCAGTTTCTGCTGCAAAACTGTTGCAAATCTTTGTCAGCTGCTCAGAACTAACGTCTGCTCCTTGAAGGCAGCACGTGGCCGCCGGAGCAAAGTCGCCCCTAGCCATCAGGACCTTAAGCACCGTAGTGGAGAGTAGAGACTTCATGTAGCGATCAAAGTTGCTGAAGACCACTGCATCTGGCTGAAGAAGCATTGAGCCAAACCAACGTTCGGCACCCACTCCCTTTATGGCACCCCTGATGGATTCATCGGCCGTTTCTCCCCAAATCTGGTATTTGTCCTTGGCTACTGAGCTTTGAGCCTTGGCAGTGGACACGTTCCACAAGGCCTGGCATGTTGTTTCCAGCATCTTCGTGCTCACAGCCTTGTGTCCACCGTTCTCAGGCTGGGACAAGGAACCCTCACTGCAAATCAGTTCAAAGGGCCGCTGCAAGTCCTTCAACCGAGAAGCCTCGAAGAGGCACCAGATACGGGAGAACGGCTTCACTTCTTCATCCAAAACCATCACTGCACCACCAGTGGCTTGCGCCAGTGCTGCGTTGAATGGCCCCTGCTGAGGATTTTCCCCGACCTCCTCGGCCACGTCGTGCTGGTTCAACGCAAAGAGGCATATCCAGTAGACCAGAGCCTCCTTCTCCGAGGTCAGCTTGTCGTAGTTCGAATCTGCCCACAAGTCAAGAGCCGTGACAGTGCTTGTGAACTTGTGTCCCCAAAAATGGGAGACAAAGCAGTGAACAAACAGGCCGAATGGATTCACCAGTTGTGAAAAGGATGAAATTCCGCGTGCTTCGGCAATGGTCTGCTGCTCATCCTGTTCACGGGCTCCACACATGCCTGGCTTCGACATTGGAGTCACCACAAAAGTGTCCAAGGCATAAAGATTGGTATCTTGTCTGAACTTCGTGCGATTGGCAATGGCACGGGCATTCTTTGTGTTGAAGGATTCACATCGTGCAGAGAGCCATCCACTTGTGATGAACAAGGCTTCAAGATGTTGAAGCTGGCCCAATGCCATTCCACGCAAGGAGTGAGGGACTGCTCCTGACTCAGTGAAGATGTGCTGCCAAGCGTTTGGATTCAGATTGGTTCCAACTTTCGAATCAAGTAATTTCTACACTGTTCATCGTTGTACAGATTCCGGTGCGTCAACATAAATCAAACGACCTGGAAATGCCTGCAAAGTCATGCTTCATGGGTACCAACATGTCCAAACATTCCGAACCCCCATTCATGTCTTCATGCTTTGCGTCGCTGTAGATTCATGCTGATTCGGAAATGGATCCAGAAAACAACCGCTGACCAAAATTTTGAAAATAAAAAAGAAGCGTTTCACAAATCGCCGATAGAAATTGATCCAAAACTGAGATGCAATGAGATGCATGTCAATGCATTTGGCGGACATGTTCCTAGCAAAACTTTGACCGTATTTGAATCAAAGGCTCTGATCAGCTTGGTGCTTCCTTGAGAGGCCACCATTTCAGCGAAGCTTTCTTTGCTGACGCGTTGCCCAGCCATGAGACGAGGATTGGTGCCGTGGTTTTTGGAGCTGCCACTCTGCGAGATGCCATAGACCCGAGCCGCCTGCTTCAGCTCGTGTGCATCGAGATCGCCAGAGCCATCCAAGTCGCAGCGGGTCGCCACGAACTGAGGATCTTGCAGCTTTTCTTTCAGTTCGGCGCTCACAGCCAGCAGCTCCAAATGCCACTTCGCACCTGCAGAGGCATGGCACGAAACTTCAACATCTGCCTTCTGAGCCTTCTCCTGAGCCTTCTCAGCATCCTTCTCTCCTTTGGGGTCTGATGCTTCGCTGTGTTTCGGCACAGCCACCAACAATGTTGGCAGCCCAGGACGGCGCGGCTCCAACGCATCGTTTTTGCTGCAGCTGCAGCCCATCACCAAAATGGAGTTCCGCGCTTATGGCGGTCACTCAAAACTGCTTAGCCGAAAACAACGTTTCAACATGTTTCAACATGGAAGGGTGTCTTCACATGTGGCAAACGATCAAGTCAAGTTGCAAGGTTTGGACGGCCAAACAGATGAAACAAGTGCGCATCAAGCTCACTTCAATGAAGCGGTTCAATAAAGGACGGTAAATGGAATACAGACTTATCGGTGCCGCGATGTTTTGTTTAGTTTAGTCCCAAAAAAACTGGGACTTCAAGACGCAGATTTCAACAGAAACTTGGGTCTCTCAATTCTCTGGCAAGGCATCCCCGCCTTGCAGCGAGCTGCAGCAGTTTCCACTTCCAACTGCCCACAATCCATCAGCCGGAGAAGAGATGCCTTGGAGCTTCGGTTGGTTCGGGGCTGAACTAAGACTGACATGTCAAGGAAAAAAACGGATCTCAAGGTACAGAGAAGGCATTTGCAACGAAATTGTTGGACAAAACTGAGCCGTGTAGAGAAAACAAAGAGGTCCTGGGGTCCTTGCTGATAGTTTGACATCGCACTGGGATGCCTCAAGTTGCAAGAGACTGAATTCTACTTATGTTTCACTGGGATTAAATCCGTTCACGACCCAGTCATATCTTGACATTCTTCAACCCCTTGCAAAATATGAGGCTCGAATGGGAGACTTGATTGGAAACAATGACGGTAGCACAAACTCACCATGTCGGTTGCAAACATCTGGAAACAGCTCATTCACTGGATTCCACGGCTTTAAGCTTATTTTAAGCAGGATCAATCCAATATAACGATAAACCATGTCTCTTTTGCTCTTCCAAGGCTGAATTTTGGTGCGTCGCATTGGCTTCAAGAGCATATCGCACACAGTACTGAGCATGTGACCCACACTGTCGGATACGAAAGTAATATACAGGTCGACCTATAGCCAAAATGCCGATGCAATGTCAAGAGGAATATCTGCCAGGTCAAATCTTGCAGAAACATGTCATGCAATGCTGGTTTCTACAGATGTCAAAGTCAAGGCATCAGCAAGTGTTACAATCACTGCCTGTCAACTTTTGCGGACCCATGGTTTATTCTAACAAACTGGTGGATATTGGCGGATCATGGTTCCAACCACATTGTGATTTTGATTGATTTTCTACATCCACGTGTGACATGGAATCTGTTTCCCGTGGCAATCTGAGTTCGAAACAACGTCTTCCAAGGCCGATGTCTACCCAAGGCCGCGGTTGGATACCTGGCGCACCGCATTACCCTCTGGTAGTGCCAGGATGTCAATATCTGTTGGAATTCTGTTGGAATTCCTGTTGGTGATTCTCATTGATTCTCCCATTTCCCATCTTTCCCAAGGATTTCACTGGATTTCCGAAGATTTCCCGGCGCTCGCCAGAGGTTGGCCATGCTGTCTTTCCGGACGCAAATCAAACAAAGGGCACTGCTTAAAGTGTGAGTTTACAATTTTTTATGAGTTATAACGTGTTTTAACGTGTTTATAAACCCTCTATAACGTCTCTATAACCTGCTTGCAAGTATGTAAAGTTTCATGACTGTTGACAAGTAAGTTATAATTTCAGCTAGCCGGCTACGTGAAGTTGTAAATGTTTAGGTAAAATGTAAGTTCTTAACGAACTTATCGGAAGTATCTTATCTATATTTTCATAAACTATGTTAACAGACTTAACATAAGTACTTAGGAAAGGTTATCATAAGTTATAGAAAGTTATCAAACAAGTTACTAAGACCACACGGTTGTGACAAAAATTGAATTTGTGCTGTATGTTTAGATAGCTGTAGTAATGTTGCTTGGAAAAAGAATTTTGCAAAGATGCTTTCTCGGAAAGGTTATGGTTTTCAGTAAAGCTGCTGCAAGGACCTTAGTTTTTTCTCAGCAGGATTTCTTTCTTATGACTCAATTTCGAAAAAGCGAGGGTCATTTCAATTCCAAACATGGAGGAAACTATGTTGTTGATATCGTACATATATGTTAAAACATTTTTTACCCATTTTTTCTTCCATTATAAATTATAAACAAGAGTAGCTCAATCATATTGAAGTTATCATAGCTTTACTTTGTCTAAATTTTAGCAGTTTTTCGACTTAGTCTTTTGTATTTCTATATTTTGTCATGAATATGGTGTGGTTTAGTGGTTGTTTTGTATAGAATTTCAGTTTTTAAATATGATTGATTTAAAAAACTATAGATTAAATGAAACCAGCTATGATTCTGATTGTCATGGCTTTAGTGTAGATTGAACAAGCCATAGTTCAGACTAACCAGCTATAGTTCAAACTGGCTACTGTATAATGGTAATTTTCCCGTTGGTTTGGCACCGCGCAAGGGCTTAAGAAGGGCGACCTTTTTGCGCCCAAAAAGGGTCCCAAAAACAAAGAAAAAGGATGCCATTAAAAATCCCAAACCAAGAGGAAAATTACTAGGCTAGAATTCAGATTGAACTAGCTATAGTTCTAAATGAACTAGCTATAGTTCGGACCGAACTAGCTATAGTTCAGACTGGGTATAGTTTAGATCGAACTAGCAAGAGTTCAAGCTGAACAAGCTATAGTTCAGCCATAGTCCAGCTGTGGACATGGAATCCGGAGGGGAAAGGCGTCTTGCGTGTGCTGCCTCAATTGTGGATTTGTTTGGACAGAGTAAAATGAATGATAGGCAAGAATACAGTCACAAAAAACAAATCTGACACGAAAGTTTCTGAAACGGATCAAGTCTGGCAAGGCACATCCTGAAAAGGATCAAACCTGAAAAGACAGTTCCTGAAAAGGACCCAGTCGCTAAAGGCAGTTCCTGAAACGGATAAAGTCTGAAAAGACACTTTTTCATAAAGATATACAAACATGGAGGAACTGTTTTTTATTTTTAGTTTTATTATTTGACTTGCTTATATAATGGTAAGGAGTAATTAATTATAAACTAAAAAACATGCTTATTTTTTAAGTATTTCTTTTTGCACATTTTTTGCAATATTGTTTTTAAGTTCCAAGTCTTGAGATTAAATTAAATATGGGATGTCTCAAAATAGGAGTGCCCCAAGCTCACTTTTTTTAGTTGAAAAAGAAAGGCTTGGGGCACTCAGTTATGGCACCCCTATTCTGAGACATTCCCATATGGAATTATGGCTAAGCTATGGCTGAATCATGGCAATTTAAAGTTATATTAAAATTGGAACTATGGCTGGACTATGGATGAACTATGGCTATTTAAATTTAAATTAGAAAAAATGAAACTATTGCTGAACTATGGCTGAACTATTGCACTTTAAATGTCGATTAAAAATGGAATTATGGCTGAACTATGGCTGAATTAAAGCTGTTTTAATTCAAGGAAAAAATGATGGATAAACTATAGCTACGTTAGATTGAACTATAGCTAGTCCTGCTTGAACTATTTCTAGTTCGATCTGAATTATAGCCAGTTTGAACTATAGCTAGTTCAGTCTGAACTATGGCTCTTTCAATGTACACAGAACCATAGCTGGTTTCATTTAAATTATTTGTCTTTTCAAGTATATGTAGAAACTAAATATCTAAACAATCACTAAACCACACCAAATTCAGGGAAAAAAATAAACTAAATCGAAAAGACCTTACAAATTTGAAAAAGTCAAGCTGTTATAACTTCAATATGATTGAGCTAATAATGTTTAAATATGAATAAAGGAGAAATTGAGTGAACAAAAAAACACACACACACATATATATATATATAACGTACATGTACGATATCAACAACATAGTTTCCTCCATGTTTGAAATTGACATGGTCCTTGCTTTTTCGAAATTAAGTCTTAGAAAGAAATCCAGCCCAGAAGAAAGAAAGTCCCCTGCAGCAGCTTTGGCACAGCTTCGAGAAAAAAAGCGATCCAATGCCGCCCAAAGGATCCTATCTGGAGAAAGTTTACTCACTATACGGTGAGCAAGCAAATGGTGCATCGCAACCTTCCACGCAGTAGACCAAAAAGGAACGCAGCTCCGGTTTCCAGAGTTACTTGAAAGGAAAAGAAAATCATGTCAAATGCGATTCCTGAAACAGGAAGAATCTGAAAAGATTTGACATGAAATGTGAAAGTTCCTGAAAAGGACAATTTC